CCCCCACCCCATAATCCTCGGGGTCCGCAAAGCCTGGATGTGCCCTGCGCCCGCGTGGGCAGACACCCCTCCCCCTTTCTAGACTTCCCTCTCCCTGCCCGGGCAGCACCCCGGCTGCGGGGCGGGCAGGCCTGTGCATTCGGGGTCCCTGCTGTCCGTTCAGCGCCTTTGCTCGGATTTGTGAGCTCTGGTGGGAAATTGCTGAGGACACTGACAAAAGCTGTTTCTGTGACCCTCCGGGGCATCGCCAAGAGCAACCGTTCTCAGGAGGCCTCGGGGGCTCCAGAAAGTAACACTGGCCTCTGCCCCGATGGCTGGAGGTTGTTGCCTGAGCGAGTAGGGGCTGGAGGGCAGAGCCCCACTGGGCCTGGCTTAGTAAGAAGTTCTGGGATTGTTCAGCATTTTTCCCAAACGTCCGCACTTGGAGGGCCATGTGAGGACACTCTTGTTTCCCTGAGGAAGTGTGGACTGTGCTCAGGGGCGCCTTCTGCCCTGGGCGGGGGGCTCAGCAGGGAACGTGGACTCACTGGGCTCCCAGGTTTGCTGGGGAGAGGCGGACAATAAAATAAACTTGTAAAATGTAGAGTACGTGTGCCGTCGGGTGTAGAGCCCTGGAAGAGGGAAGGGGGGTGTCCGATGAAAGGGATGCCTCGTCTGAGAGATGGTGGTTGAATGACCCCGAGGAGTTGGGAGTGGCCGGTTGCCGTCGGGGGTGACAGTGCACCAGGCTGAGGGAAGAGCAGGGGCAAAGGCCCCGTGGCAGGAGCGGTCCTGGCATGGATGAGCTTTAGATCTGTTTGCTGCGTGCGGGCGGGCCTGGCTGCCAGCAGTGTCCTTTGGTGTGAATGACCTCCTGCATAAACTGAACCAGCTTGACAGCGAGAGGACTCAGAACTTCTGAACCTATGCTGCCTCTCCCCGACCCCCCAGTTCCAGGAACGGGAGGAGCTCCACGGCCAGTAACTGCCCAGCAGGGCGGCCGAGGTGAACCTCGACACCATCTGCTCCGACCCGCGTGGTCCCCTGTGCCTTAGGCACTCTGGCCAGACCGGCTTTGGGGAGCGGGGTGCCTGCCGGAAGTGACCGGATGCCCTTGGGCAGGGGGCCTTTCAAGAAGGAGCACTGGCCATTGCAGGAAGCAGAGCACCTCCCCCAGGAGCCTCCCGCTCATGTCCGGGCATCAGCTGGAGTTCGCAGGGAGCCCCTGCCGTTGATCCGAGAGCCCAGCTTGCACAGGCTTGGTAATCGCCCACCCGACAGCTTTGACTTCCCTCCCGGGCTCCTGGCCCAGGCCCAGGCCCCACTTCTCCACCCTTGAGCGGATGACACAGAGCTGGGCTTAGGGGAGAAGCGAGGGCCGGGGGCGCCCAGCCGGCTCAGTCCGTAGAGCGTGTGAGTGTTGATCTCGGAGCTGTGAGTTTGAGCCCCAAGTTGGGTGTGGAGGTTACTTACAAATAAAATCTTAAAAATAAATGAACAAGGGAGATCTAAGCGTGAGCGGGTTGCCACCGCCGAGGGAGGAGCCCAGAAGATACCCACCCGGGGCTGGGTGTGCAGAAGGAGAAGGTGCGTCTTGGTTCGGGGGTGCCCCCCTGGATCTCATGCTCAAAACCCACCTCTGCAAGGGCCCTAGAGCCCATCACTAGTGATTGGAGGGAACGCAGCGATGTGGACAGAGAACTGGTGTGGAGAGAAGAGCGGGGTCATGCACTGGCCGGGCCGAGACGTCCCCTGCCCAGGCCTGGTCCGGGGACACAGGAGGCCGGGCCAATCTATCTGCAAGGCTCCTCGTGGCTCCAGCGGGTGGTGACTGTGTGGTTAAGTCCAAACTGATCTTCAGGGAAGGAAATTCGTAGGCGGGGTGCGGTCGGTTCAGAAGGGGCCAGGGTGGCCTTGAAGCCCGTGCCAGGCCCGCTGAGGGCAGCTTCAAGGACAGTGAGGGCTCTGGCCCCAGGGTGCGGGGCAAACCCTGGGACAGAGGGCAGGGACTTCAGATTGACGCAGAAGGGTCACTGCCCAGCGCGGCGGGCCTCCTGGGGACAGCGGGGGACTGCCGGTGGGTGTTCTTGGCCTGGGCCTGGCCCTTTAGGAGCAGACGCTCCCGGGTGCCATGGGGACAAGGTGGGGTGCAGAAGGCCTCTCCCCGCACAGATCCCCCAGAGCACCCAGCCACCCGCTGCCCTGAGGAGGGAGGAGTGGTTGGTGCTCCAGGAAATCCTCCCTGGCGCCCGGGAGAGGACCTCGCGATCCCATCCCTGCTTACATAACGTAACACAGCTGAGCCAGCCAAGTTCAAACTGGTGTTTTTGCTTTCGCTGAGGTGTGTTTACTTTGCCAAGGGAGGTCCTAGTTCATCGTTCCTTGACTCCTGAAGGCCTGGCCGAGGCCCCTCCCCCCCAGCGCGGCTCACAGACCTGAAGTGGCCCCCCCATCGTCCGTGTCCGGCGGCTGGGGACACGGTCCCGCTGCAGCTAAGCCTCCCCCTCTGAGGCCTCATTGGAGGTGCTTGCATTTCGGGAACAAAAGGGCTCTTCTGTCTGAGGAGCTCAGAGATGTTCCAGAAGATTCCATAGGAGGAACAGGAGGTCAGGTCAGGAACAGGGGTTTCTGCTGCCTTTGGGGAGGCCGGGTAAACTGTGTTCAGGGGTCTTCTTGGGGCTTCTGAGCCGGTGGGCTCAAGAGAACAGCTTCGCCCGAGCTTCGTTTTTGTGAGTCTCTTTAAAACAGAAGGAACCAGCCCTCACTTGTCGGGGTTAGTGGGTGTTCGAAGAGCCTTCCCTCCCAGGGCTTCTCCCCGCCTCCTCACAGAAGGCCGTGGTGCCCAGATGGACCGTCCCCACCAGGGGCCCACGGGCGGCCTTCAGCCGGCTGTGTCCTGCCCCCGGAGCCCAGGAGGGCGCAGGAAACCGGGGGACTTGGCTTTTCCCTGGGGGACGGGCGCCCTTGGCCTCACTGAGTGGTGATCCTCCCATGTGTTCCCCTTCTTCTTGGGACTGGACAGACGGAGCCTTCTGGAAAGTAAGAGAAGTGCTTTGGTTCCGGGGCCAGGATCCGTCCGGCCGGTGTCCAGCACAGCTCGGGGAAGTCTGAGTCTCTTACCAGGTTTTTGGGGAGTCGGGGGGGCAAACAGATGTACTTCCCGGCTTTCCAGGTTTTTTTTGCCTGTGGGAGGACCTGCTTGCTAGGCCGCATTGTCCCCGCAGGAGCTGACAGGCCCCGCCACCAGGTGCGGGAGGGTGACCTCGTCCCCCTCACCCGGCTCCGGTCCCCGCCCTCCCACGGAGGCAGGGCTGTTCTGTCCACAAGGACCTTCGATGGAGTTCCAGAAGCCGTTTGTGGCTTCTGCGACTTTTATTCCTTTTTGCTGCCCAGACTTTGCCGCAAGCAAATGAACCCCGGGCCCAGAACATTCCCGGACACCGGACCCCGGGCCCAAGGGGCCGCCCTACGGGAAGCACAGAGGCCCCTTCGCTGCCGTCCAGACGGGAAGGCGGCTTAGGTTCCTCAGCCAGGGCCCAGCCAGCGGCGCTCTCCGGTTACACAGCCCTGAGGAGGCGTCCTGAGCCCGGAGCACATTGGTCGAGGGCTGCCTGAGCTGGGGGGCGAGGGCGGCAGAGCGAGGTCAGCGCTGGGAAGGAGATCCGGGGTGCTCGGCCGGGCGCCACCTGGCCCGCTACCTTTATCCTCGGGAATCAGAGTCTTTCCTCTGCTCAGAGATGCCAAGTGCCGAAACCCCACGGAGCACAGCGCTTTCCTCGAGGCGGCGAGCTGTGGTCCGCTCGGGCTCCTTCTCTTGTCACTTAAAACCGATGGAAAACTGAGCCAGGAGACAGAACAGGGTCTCAAGTGACTCTCCCTGGGCGCGAGCCCCCAAGCCCCTCCTCGCATCGTTCAGCTTCGGGCCTGCGTGGAAGGCTGTGTAGACGAGCCTGGGGAGGGCTCGACTCGGGCCGGCCGAGTCCCCCCAGAGGTGCCGGGGGCCTCTAGCCCAGCCGGGTGGCCTCCCTCCTCCCACCGAGGCCCCTGCGGCAGGTGCTGGGCGCCCCTCGCTTTCTGCCTTCCGCCACCCTGGGCTTTGGGGCGCATGTTCCCCAGGTCCTGCCTGCTCTTTCCTCTACAGAGACCACCAAGCTTCCTGTCGTGGTCCCAGCAGCACATGTCTCCAGGGAAGGTTCCCTCGGCCTCCTCCGCCCCCTCTCGCCCACCTGTCGCGTTCTCGGGATTGAAGTGCAAAAGTGAATGCCCAGGGCGCCCGGGGGGCTCAGTCGGTTGGGCGTCCGACTTCGGCTCAGGTCATGATCTCATGGCTCGTGGGTTCAAGCCCCGCGTCAGGCTCCGTGCTGACAGCTGGGAGCCCGGAGCCTGCTTCGGATGCTGTCTCCTTCTCCCTCTGTCCCTCCCCTGCT